AAAAGATAAAAAGTATACTTTTTTAGTACACCCCAAACCAACAATCCACACATTAACAATTTATTCACTAACCATCCTCTCACTAATAATCCCATCCTACCTAATCTGCCAAACAAATGTGGCCTAAAGGATTTAGGATAAGCAGATACACACTCACCCTCTTCTATATATAGGAATCATGAATCATTGTAATAAATATCAATAAACATCAATCAATAATACATAAATTTTTACACAAAGGTATCAAAGAATCAATTTAAATTTATGTTTGATATGTTAATAATGGAAGCGATTTATCTTTTGAGGAGAGTAATAGAAAAGTATAGAGAAAAGAAAAGAGAGATTTATATGATTTTTATCGATATTGAGAAAGCGTATGATAGAATGTCTTGGGATACAATTTGGTGAGTGTTAAAGAAGAAAGAGGTGACAAGAGATTACATTGATGTGATTAGAGATATGTATGAAGGTGTGATGGCCACTATTAGATCTCTTGCTGGAGAGACGAGTGAATTTCCAATTATTGTATGGTTACACCAAGGATCAACCTTAAGTCTTTATTTTTTTCGCTTTAGTTATGGATGAGTTGACGCGCAATATTCAGGATAAAGTGCTATGGTGTATGCTTTTTGTAGATGATACTGTGTTAGTGGATGAGACTAGAGAAAGAATTAGCACTAAGTTGGAGATTTGAAGAAAAGCACTTGAATCTAAGGCCCTGTTTGTTTGGCGGGGTAGGGGGCCGGATTGGATTAATATGGGTGTGGGTTCCACCTACACCTTATTTGGTGATGATTTGAGAGGGGGAATTGACAATGTGAGCGGCTTAGCAATCTCTCTCAGGAGGGGGATTAGCTTGGCTAGATTTTAGGTAGGATTAAAAAAAATAGTGAGTGGATTAAGTTTATTTTATATTAAAATTTTTATTTTTTTAATTCTATTTTTTTTATCAAGTATACCTGTTTATTTTAATATTTGTTTTAGTTTTTTTTAAATATAGAAATAATTTTTTATTTATTTTATATAAAAATAATTTAACAATCCCATCATTAACCATCTTCCACACTATCATCAAAACAAACACACTATTTACTTGTTTGGGATGATCTAACTAAGTGCACTATTTGACTTTTTACGTAAAGATGTGCAAAAAAGTAGAGAGGTAATGTGACCAAAAATAAATAAAAAGATAAAAAGTATACTTTTTTAGTACACCCCAAACCAACAATCCACACATTAACAATTTATTCACTAACCATCCTCTCACTAATAATCTTATCCTACCTAATCTGCCAAACAAATGTGGCTTAAAGGATTTAGGATAAGCAGAACTAAGACAGAGTATATGGAGTGTAATTTTAATAACAGTTACAATGGAAGCCAATGAGAAGTGAAAATTGAGAACCAAAAACTACCTAAGAGTGAATATTTTCGTTATTTATGATCGATTATCACAACGACCGGGGAGATTGGAACGGATGTGGTCCGTAGAATTAAGACAGGGTGACTTAAGTAGAAGAATGCGTCTGGAGTACTATGCAATAAACGTATATCCATTAGACTAAAAGAAAAGTTCTATAGAACGGACATTAACCCAGCAATATTACATGGGATGGAATATTAGGCAACTAAGAAATAACATTTAGATAAGATAAATATTGCCATGACAATGCTAAGGTAGATGTGTTGCAAGACTAAAAAAGAGAGAGTTAAAAATGAGTATATTCGAGAATGGGTAAGAATAGTAATAGTACCGATAGAAAATAAGTTGACAGAGAATAGATTAAGATAGTTTGGTCATATACAACGGAGACAAACAGAAGCAGTAGTGAAGAAATATGATACAGTAACAATAGATGGTAATGTTAGGAGAGGGGTAGACCTAAATTGACGTGAACTAGTATAGTAATAGAGATATGAAACTCCTTAATTTGACTAACGAAATGACCTTGCATAGAGTCCAGTGGAGAAGAATGATTCATGTAGCCGACCCTATTTGATGGGACTTAAGACTTGGTTTGATTTGGTTTATATATATATATAGAATTAGAATTAGTTTAAGCCTCGTTTGGAAACAGACTATTTTAGTAACTTTTTGACTTTTTACGAAATGATGAGCAGAGTAGAGAGAGTGATGTGACAACTTATAGTGACTTTTTGACTTTTAGGCTAAAACTAAAGGTTGTCAAACGAGACCTAATTGTTTGTGGATGTAATATCAATATAGATAGCGAATAAAAATATATGAAAACATATTTTACTGTCATGTTCCCGCCGTGTCCGTGTCTCTATTTTTTTGAAATTGCGTGTCCCGTGTCCGCATCCATGTTCGTGCTTCTTAGATGATCAACGATATGGATTTTTTATTTTTCTTGAACCAAATCATTGCCGTTGTATGACTTCAATGATGGTGATGATGGTCCGAAGCAATGAGGCTATATTAAGAACGTAACCACACTAATTAAACAAAAACAATAGACCAAGATTTTGGCTATGATCAAAATGATGTAGAAATGTTGTATGTTACGAGAAGAGAGAAGATGAGGGCCACAACCCTAACACAAGTGGCCTTAATCGTATACTCAATATCAATAATCCAAAGCTAAATATTACAATTAGGGATGACAATTTCAACCCGGCCCGACGAGTACCCGACCCCCCAACCTCGATTAGAATGGTTTTTTCCTTAAAAATACCCCCACGGGAACGGGGATGGTATTCGAAATTGAATCCCCGATCAATTTTGGGCCGGGAACGGGGATAGCTTTCACAGCCCCAAACCCAGCCCGGCCCCAGCCCCGTCCCCGTTTCTTCCTGAAGTGAAACTACTATATATAAACCAAACCCAAAAAACACAGACACAACTCACACAACCTCTCATCTCTCTCTCGGTTTCTCTCTCTAAAAGCCTCCCTCCTCCGACGTTGTCCTCCTCTCCCTCACCGCCGATCTCCCTCTCTCCGCTGTCCTCCTCTCCCTCCTCCCATCACCGTTGAACTCAAATCCGCAAACTCAGATCTCGACCGTCAACGCCAAACTCAGTGGGGCCACGTCTCCGATCTGCCTCATGTGGCTTGGATCTCACTCATACTCGTCATGCCACCAGATCCTGTCATGCCTCATGTGGCTTGGATCTCACTCTCTCTCTCAGATCTCTCTTTGTGATGTTGATGATGTTGTTTGATGATGATGTTGGTTGATGATGTTGTTGAATCGTTGTTGCTAACTTGCTACTGCTGTTTGGTTTTTTTTTTTTTTGTTTTTTGGTCCGGGGAATTTTCGGGGTCGGGGAAACCCAATTTTGTTAGGGGGCGGGGACGAGGACGGTGATGGTGATAGGCTCCCCGTCAGGAATTGGGGCCGGGGACGGGAAAATTTATACCATCGGGGACGGGGAGTATGATCCCCAGCCCTGCCCCGGCCCGTTGCCATTCCCAATTACAATGCAAAGACCTAACATTTATAGGCTAGAAACCCTAACTCAAAATAGGAAACTAAATCCTAACTAGGGGTTTTCAAATAACCGATTCAACAGACGAACTCGACCGATCCGAACCGAAAATTGCAACCACGGTCGATTTCGATGGGCACCACAGTCAACAACGGATTGAACATTTAAAAAATATATAATTCACGGTCGGTTGTCGGTTTTAGTTCAAATAAATTTGTATAACCCGAACCGACCGACAATTACGTAGAATATAATGTTTTTTTTATATACACGTGGACTTATTTAATTTGGTATGCAAATTACATCTTATCTTTTAAGTACAAGTTCAAAGACAATGTGATATTGACTTGACTATTGAGCAGTGAGCCATGTGATGTCTGACAATTGAGCATTAAGCCATGTGATCTCTCTTATCAAGATTTGTGCACTATTGTAGACAGATCTTACCCTAGCTCTCATAACTCTTTGGATTTCTTATTGAATTTAGGTTTTGACATCCCTAAATAAAGCAAATGAGGGTGCTTTGGTCAAGAAAATATTGTCATGTTTGGAACTCTTCTCATCGACGGCATATGACAATTTAGAACCCAAGTTTCTTATGCTACTCCTACAAGTTCAACAACCAGTGCCAAAACTAGTTTCCTATCTCAATTTCCAAGTTTTTTTTTGTTTTCTAATGACGTCATTTGATGATACTTGATGCGACAAGTCCATAAAAGAAACTAAATAAAGAACCAGTGCATCATCTAATGCTTTCTTCTCACCCTCTAAAGGAAACAAATAATCTTAGCCTTATATTCCACGATTCAAATGAAATTTGCTCGTATGTACAAACAACATTTGAGAGAGAGAGAGAGAGAGAGAGAGCACAGGTGGAGGAAATGAGGGTGCTTTGATCAAGAAACTACAGTCATGTTTGGAACTCTTTTGACTGACTGCATATAACAATTTATTACCCAAGTTTCTTATGCTACTCCTACAAGTACAACTAGTGCCAAAACTAGTTTCCTATCTCAATTTCCAAGTTTTTTTTTGTTTTCTAATGACGTCATTTGATGATACTTGATGCGACAAGTCCATAAAAGAAAGGGTTTCTTTCATTTTCTAACGAAGTGATTTGATGATACCTGATGCCACAAGTCCATGAAAGAAACTAATCACCCTCTAAAGGAAACAAATAATCTTAGTCTTACATTCCAGAATTCAAATGAAATTTGTTCTTCTGTACAACAGCATTTAAAATAAAGAAAGAGAGAGCAGCGAGGAAGGAAAGAGAAAAAGTGTATCGTAAAATAACCAGGTTCTTATATTATAATAATGAACAAAGCAAAAACAAAGACATGATAGACCCAACTAGTTTTTTGTGATTATTATGCACACCCTAGGTTAATGTGAGATTATTATGTATGCATCTAAGTTATAACTCAAAATCACACATAAGTTAACAAGTTTTGTATCTTACGAAGATTGAGTATAAATGCGCAAATTTCAAATAAATAATGAGCACATAATCAATCTTTGTGAGTGCTTAGCATTGAGAAACACTCACCTAAATGATCCAAGTCGGGCAGTTGTGTATGTAGCTTGTCTAAGCAGCCCAGCAGACAGCCCCTGCTCAAGAATAATCCAAGTTAGGCAGAATAATGCGTACAACAAGTGCAATGCTAAAAGTATCCACTAATATTTTCCATTAAAATAAATAAATAAGTCCCAAAGAAGATTTCATTGATGTTCTAATCCTCTAAAGGGACTGAAGTGATAGTAGGGGGTAATGATAAAATGTTAGGCTTTTAAGCTATACGGATAACTTGTTTATATATTTGCCCCTTTTGGGTAAGTAAGTTTGTTTGTTACCAAAAATAGAATATTACAATGACGCTCAATATGTGTATCCACATGTATGCAAGCATATATCTCTGCATCGATTGTTGATTTGATGGGATTGAATTTCCCACTTGCATAGGCACAAATCTTTTCAGTTGATCGAGGATCATTCACAGCTGGCTTCCATTTGCAGATTCCTCCCCATCCTTCCATGCATCCATCTGTTTCAAGAATAATTGCACATTGTGATGGAGGAATTGACAGATCTGGCAATTTCTGGATTCTGGCTTTGATCTTGTGGATTAAGTCCCAATCTTGGGCATTGAGCCTCTTCTCACCATTTGGGCTGATCTTCGAATATAATGGGCTTAACATGCGGCCCAAATCCTTGATGTAATGTCTAGCATAGTTGAGAAGGCCCAACCAAGAGCGTAAACCCTTAGTTTCTTTAAGAGTTTCAAATAGTTCATTGTCTATCTCCTTCAGTTCGCATGTTTGCTGATGGACCTCAGGTAATTTGTCTCCATACTGGTTATCAGAGGTTGCAGCCCTGGCAATGGCTTCGAGCTTGAGCTGCTGTATCTTGAGGAGCTGTTGCAGGGCAGTTCTGGCTTGGTCAATGGCATCGTCTTCTTCATTGGAGATACAGGGCTCAAATCAAGGTCTCTCCAGAAATTTACCACTGTCAACATGAATGGGATCAGCAAAACCCATTACCAGAAGACAGGAGACCAGAAGACAAACTGATATTATTCCAACAGTTTTTCTCAGATGCCTGAGTATTGATTAAAGTGGAATAATACTGACCGACACTATTGACACTGACTGAACCATGCCCACCACGTTCTTCCAAAAAGATAAGCATGGGATAAGATTCTCCTGTTGATCTTATTAGTAACGAAACCTTCTCATCAGCATGACGAGATCAAATAATTCTTCATCAATTCAATTAGTGCTCTATCTCTAGCCGAAATTATGTACTTGCCGATTGATGTTAGGTCATAACCAACGGCTCCATCCGTAGCTCGGATTGGCCTAGATGCTTGTGGAGAACAGATTTCCACTGATATCCTTCGAGGACGAAATTGGATTATCCGCCCACCAGTAAGACGGATACATCCACAACAACCAACAACTGCCGTATCTTGAAACCTTCCAGGCGGAAATTTCAGTCTACGATTTGGAGATTATGTTGCAGCTCAACAAGCCGATCCAGTTGTTTTGTGTACCTTCATTACCATCACCTATGGCAATAAGATTTGCATATTCATCAGCATATCTCATTCTCCATTGCATCCATATCAACAATTTGTTAATCACACGAGGATTAGTGGGAAGATTATCCAACACTCCTTGCGGTCTTAGTCTTACGAGACACCCGATGGACAGGAGATCAGGCAACTTTCGCATCTATGGAGGTTGATCTAACAAGGGGTATACAGATGGTCTACATAGTTCCTAACACTATGATGACACCACTTGGATTATATGAATGGATGGTTATGCCATTCGGCCTGAAGAACGCGCCTGCAGTTTTTCAGAGGAAGATGGATCTATGAACGCATGGTGTGTAATTACAAACGATTACTACCCTGATAAGTGTTTACGCTACAATAGCCATAACAAATACTCTAACCAACTGCCAGAAGTACACCAGCAGACCTGTGAACTAAATGAAATTGACGGAGAATTATTTGATCTCGTCATGCTGATGAGAAGGTTTCGTTACTAATAAGATCAACAGGAGAATCTTCCTGAATAAAAGGTCTTTCAATCTGCGTGTCTCCTACGCAGAGGACTGCTTCTTCAGATCGATGAACATAAACTCACACTGGATTGTTCTTCAAAGAAAAGAATTGTCTCTTGTCGATTTTGGGCTTCATTTTGGATGGAATTTCTGTCATCTTCAGAATCCATAACTTCATTATCATTCTGATCATAATGAACTGGATCGGCTTGTTGAGCTGCAACATAATCTCCAAATCGTAGACTGAAATTTCCGCCTGGAAGGTTTCGAGATACGGCAGTTGTTGGTTGTTGTGGATGTATCCGTCTTACTGGTGGGCGGATAATCCAATTTCGTCCTCGAAGGATATCAGTGGAAATCTGTTCTCCAGGAATTGCCTTTACACCGCGAGATGTAAGAAATTCAGATCCATCTTCCTCTGAAAAACTGCAGGCGCGTTCTTCAGGCCGAATGGCATAACCATCCATTCATATAATCCAAGTGGCGTCCAGAATGCGGTCCATTCAATAGAGTCAGGGTGCATGGCAACCTGGTGAAAACCACTTTTTAGGTCAAACTTGGAATAAATATTACTTTACTTACAGAAAACTGAGCGGAAGCTTTGTTACAAAAGATGAAGACTCAAAAGATTCACAAGACTCTTAACTTCTCAAGTATCAAGTGTAGTTATTTGGACTTGTCTTGATGCTTGAAACTATAAGCTTAGACGCCTATTTATAGAGAAACTATCAAGGATGCATGCAATAATGCCGAGTACACTGTTAGCCTCATCGGCGCATTATTGGTGTCCTGATGATTCTCCACTTGACTACCAGGATATGACAGGTTCATAACTCTGGTTCACAATTACATTGATAGACGAGCCAGATTATGACAGATTCATAATTCAGGCACATTATTGCAAAAATATCTATAATACGACAAACTGATATTATTCCAACAGTTTTTCTCAGATGCCTGAGTATTGATTAAAGTGGAATAATACTGACCGACACTATTGACACTGACTGAACCATGCCCACCACGTTCTTCCAAAAAGATAAGCATGGGATAAGATTCTCCTGTTGATCTTATTAGTAACGAAACCTTCTCATCAGCATGACGAGATCAAATAATTCTCCGTCAATTTCATTTAGTTCACAGGTCTGCTGGTGTACTTCTGGCAGTTGGTCAGAGTATTGGTTGTCACTGCAAGCGGCTCTGGCGATGGCTTCAAGCTTAAGCTGCTGGATCTTGCGTAACTGTTGGATTGCTGTTCTTGCCTGTTCAATGGCATTATCTTCTTCCTCAGCGAGACTGACCTGGATTTCTGCCATTTCATCAAGGGGGATTCCTGAGTCGTAAGTGAATTTAAACCATTGAATTCAACAGTGTATGAGTTTTCTTCCAAGGCATCAGCTGGAACAGATTCAGAATCTACGACACATGTTGTTGCTCCTGTGTCTAGAATTGCATTGAGAGAGGTTTTTGGTACACCTGGAATTTCTAATTCCACTGTGATGTTGTAGAGCATATTTCTCTTCTTTTCTTTCAGCTCCCCTCCAGCTATCATTTCTTCGAGGGCAAGAGCTGTTTCTGAAACTCCTTCAAATCTAACATGAGTTTCCTGCTCCAATGCTTCAGTTTCTAGATCATGAAGCTCCTCCTCTTTGTACTTCCCTTTTTTTTCTCAGATCTCGTTCATCCTCTTGAAGCTGTATTACAAGTTTAAGTGGAAAGCTGCATTCTTGCATTCAGCTTCCAGGTACTTGTAGGCATAAAGAATTCTTGGAACGACTCCTATTGTGTTTGCTCCTTGCTGCAGAAGAGATTGGTATCGTACAGCAATGGGATGAAATTGAGGATCAATCCAGCGACTTGATGGCTCTGTCTGGGAGAGGATGATCCGTTCATGTCTCTGAAGGGCTGGATAAGTTCTTCTAACTGCTGCAGACCGATTAACACCTCCATATCGTCCGGCTCCACCTCTGTTGGCCATTCTGTACAATAAAATAATGAATAAACAAGTCTGGAGAGAGCATCAGCAAGAGTATTGTCAGAACCAATGATGTGTTCTAAAGATACTTCTATGCCTAAACCAGTGATTTAGTCCGTAAATGCTATCCATCTAGACCGTGACGGTTTGTGGTCCACTGTTTTGTTGAAAAAGCTAATTATAGCTTGGCAGTCTGTTCGTAGAGTTAGCTGTGGCTTATCAAGATAATATATCTTGAAAGCATCCAAGGAATTCATGCAAGCATATATCTCCGCATCGATTGTTGATTTGATGGGATTGAATTTCCCACTTGCATAGGCACAAATCCTTTCTGTTGATCGAGGATCATTCACAGCTGTCTTCCATTTGCAGATTCCTCCCCATCCTTCCATGCATCCATCGGTTTCAAGGATGATGATACATTTTATTGGAGGAATAGATAAATTTGGCAGTTTCTGGATTTTCTCTTTGATCTTATGGATCAAATCCCAATCCTGAGCATTAAGCCTTTTCTCACCATTTGGGCTTACTTTTGAGTATAATGGGCTGAGCATTCGGCCCAAATCTTTGACATATTGCCTGGCATAATTCAGAAGGCCCAACCAAGAGCGTAGGCCCTTAGTATTTGTGAGAGTTTCATCAGGGAATTGGGCCACCTTTGTCACAATGTGAGGTTGTAACTTTATTTCCCCTTGCCCAATTGTTGATCCAAGGAAATCAATTTGTACTGCTCCAATCTTCATCTTCGTTGGGCTAAGGATAAGCCCATTTGTTCTGCAGATTTCAAGCATAGTCTGGATATGCTTTGAGTGGGATCTCTCATCTGGAGAGAAGACAAGAATGTCGTCAATGTAGACTGCAATAAAATCTTCAGTCCCTTTAAAACATAGATCCATCTTCCTCTGGAAAACTGCAGGAGCGTTCTTCAGACCGAATGGCATAACCAACCATTCATATAATCCAAGTGGTGTCCAGAATGCGGTCCATTCAATAGAGTCAGGGTGCATGGCAACCTGGTGAAAACCACTTTTTAGGTCAAACTTGGAATAAATATTACTATGGCCA